TACTGTAGGAGTGCTGCTATCAATACTGGAGGGAATCAGATATCATTCAATATGAGGAATATTTTGTTAAATGTTTATCAAGCAAAGACTGTAATGGATATATTGAGAGGAAGTTTGCTGTTCAACTAGAAAAGAGCAGCTCTTCATGGAATGTTCTGCAGTTTCAAGTAACTAACTGGCCTACAGATGGTGTCATTAGGGAACCACGTACTGTCCTACAAGTTATTGATGAAGTTATACACAGACAACAAAAAATTGGAGGAGGACCAGTAGTGGTACACTGTAGGTAAGAGAGAGAGTTATACTGATAGACTAATGATCATCCATTGTGTGTGTAGTGATACAGTGAGTCGTTCAGGAGTTTATTGTTCAGTGAGTATTGCTCTAGAACAGTGTAAGGCAGAAGGTGTAGTGGATGTATTTCAAGTAACTAAATCAGTGAGGAGGAGTAAACCAGGAGCTGTCACTACACTGGTATGGATAATAATAATAATAATAATAATAATAATAATAATAATAATAATAATAATAATAATAATAATGAATTATTGCTTTATTTAGGATCAATACAGTTCAATATATGAAGTGATTTCAATGTACTTGAAGTTACACAGTACTTATGCTAACTTTACATAATTTAATATATTTATGTGTTTTATTGAGTAACCTGCTGTATTTTAGTGAGTAGTGATGTTTAGTAGATGTAGCTTTAGTTCAAATATAGTAATCATTTTGTTTAACTAAAAAAATTGAAGAAATTAATGAAATAATAATGCTAATGAATTTTCAGTGTGTATCAGAAAGTGTGATAGAATTTTTGGTTGATTTTGAAGTCATTTTTCAGAGAAAGCCCTGGGCTATTTTTCAGAAATTAGCTGATTTCTAAAAATGGTCATTACTCTCAAAATTTAAGTCGGAATCAGCTCAAACTTTTTATGTAGCATAAGGACATCAATATGTATCAGAAAATGTAATAAAAATGACACATACAGAGAACCATTAATCTATACAGTTGACCCACTTGACCCTCTTCTATTTTTATACAAACTATACTTCAATGACACATCTAACTGGGCATGACATTGAAGTTTACTTTGCTCCTACAATGTTTATGTTACACTTCACTCTTCGTTAGCTTAGCTGTATCTACTTCAGTTGTGCATACAATAAACATTTTCTGTTTATTTCATAACCATCAGTCACATAATGTACTCCATACTGCATGTACATAGTGATTGCATGGTCATATACATAATGTACAGTCATTTTATCCTGGTTTACCTAAGACCAGATCAGGAAAGATAATGAGACGCATTTTAATAAAAATTGCAAATAATTTATATGAGGAGTTAGGAGATGTATCCACACTAGCCAATCCACCAGTAGTTAATGATATTATGCAGAAATGGTTGAAGGAAGCAGCAGCCACACAATCAGAACAAACTGAACAATAACCTACAGATATACTGCTGTATACACTGATCTACTGACTGGCTCTCTCTCTCTTTAGCTGTTAGCTGTTCTTTATTATTATTTTTTGAATTTATAAATGCTGATTATTTATATTATATTGTTATTACTGTTTGCCTATTATCACTGCTATAGGTTTGGCTATAATTAAAATTAATTATAAGACAACAGTTATAGATGTATTGTCTTTAAATTTTAAAACACCACCCACTCACTATATGCTGTTAATTTATTGTTTTTAAAGTCTCCAGCTAGAGTAGGAAATACATTATTATCAAGCAATGGATAGATTACTGGTCCTGCCATTATTGATTGGTTTACTATTGGTTCTTGTTAATGATGGATTGTGTGAATGCCCTCTTGATAATCAAGGTATGATACTTAACTGTGAAATAGGCATTATATATGTTCTACATGTAGGTATGTATCTGATGCATAAAGAAGTCTGTTATCTTAATGGATCTTATTTTTTTGATGCTGACATAAAATCCATGAATAACAAAGTATCATGTACCTTACCTGATATTACTCTGGGTGATGAAGATGATGGAGGGTGGGTTACTCCTAATGAAGTATCAGTTGTCTGTCCCACTAGCACTGGTTCTTTACATTGTAATATTATATCTTCGGCACTATCTGAGGCTACTACTACTTTCAGTCTTTACAGACCTGAACAAAACCCTCCAGCAATTGTTGATGGCTGGTACAAGTGTTGTCTACCCACTAATTGTTCAGATCCTAACACTAACATCATCTTTGCTAATATATTCAGTAAGACTAGTGTTCTCATAATTATTCTTGTTATTTTACTGATTTATTGTAGGATGGGCACAGATTGAAAATATCAGTGTTGATCTTCCTTCAGATATGACAGTTCTACCTCAAACATTTGCGCTACATGCCATTAAAATTGGTTCTGACAATCATGGTGCATTTTTACGTCATGCCAATTGGTACTATGAGTCAGGTACTAGTAGTACTCAACTTTGCAATGGATATGCACATGAATTTCAATTGTACTACAGTTGTACTATTGGTGATGGACAGGCAGTAGACAAAACTAATGGAAGATGGGATTTTACTGTAACTGTTACTTGGAAGGAAGAGAATATAACAAGTGGAGCAATGAGTCAACCAAATAACACAGGGGACCATGAGTTTAGATTCTTTTTAGAGTTTGGTCATATTGATATTAATCATCATATTCCACGTGTAACAAGAAATCGGTACATTTTTGTCACAGGTGAGTTATTTACAAATACTGATTTTTATGAAGTCTTTCATGCAGCTCCAGCAACTGCTCCCTCTTCTCTTACTGAGGTCAGCAAGACAGCTACCACTATCACTGTCAGTTGGACTGCACTTGGTTCATCTGATGCTGATGGATATGTAGTCAATGTCACTAATGACACAGACACTGTGCAGACAGTACAGGTGGAGGGAAGTAGTAATGATACATTAAAAGTAGAGGGGTTGGAAGTAAATACAACTTATAGCATCACAGTCAGAGCCTATCAACAATTACTGGGACCTGCTAGTAGTACAATCAGTGTACAGACCTTACCAGGTATTTCTACTGCACCTTTTAATGTACTTGTAACATTGTTGATGTATTTCTAGTTATTATAGTTTCATCTATCATTCAGCCTAATAGTACCACTGTTGATTGTCTCACACCTACTTCAACTGATGTTTACTGGTTAGTGAATGGAGTGATGAAGAGCAGTTCACACTATTCAGAAGACAATGGTGTGAGATATAACACACTACTGGTATATCCTGATCAACTTGAAGAGTCAGTTAATGTTACCTGTATAGCAATGATTGGAGGAGTCAGCTACAGTCAATCTGTGATATTACATGGTATGATTATACTTTAATCAATAGTAGATACCTTTGTCTCTTCTCTAGCTCCTAGTGGTCCTCCAGATGATGTGAGAGGGTTTATATTAAATGCTACTAGTATCAAAGTGAACTGGACCAATTTATCAGAGACTAATGGATATGTGATTGAGTATACTACTGGAGGTGTAACCAGGAATGTAGTATCTACCAGTGAAGATGAAATTGTACTAACAGATCCCTCACCAATGAGTACCTATACCATCAGTGTGTACTCATATATAGATCTTCCTTCAGTTAATAGTACAGTAACAGTGTTAAAATTAGATGGTGAGTTATTATGATTGAGAGAGTGTAATTGATATCTGTTGTAGTTCCTAGTCCAGTAACTAGTCTCTCAGTATCTAATGTCTCAACCACTGGTATTACAGTGAACTGGACTATTCCCAGTAGTGACAACTATGTAACATACTACACCATCTCCTATACTCCATCTTGTCCCCAGTCATCATCAGTGAATCAGACAGTCTCTGTTGCTCCTCATCAGTCCACTACAACATACAGTTATACATTAATAGGTCTGTACAGTGGTATGAACTATACCATCACAGTGAGAGCTGGTAATGTACTAGGAGGATCTGATCCAAATTCAATTGATGAAGATACATTGTCATCAAGTGGTATGTATGTTTTTGTGCAATTAACTTTTATTATCTACATAGCTCCTACTAATATACCAGATAATGTGACTTTTATACCAGTTAATAATAATCTCACTTGGAATGAGGTTGATTGTTCTGAGCGTAATGGTCTAATCACAGGCTATACAGTGATGATCAGTAACAGTAGTATCACATACAACCTCACCAGTACTGAGAGATATATCATATTGAATGATCTAGTATTTGGTCCTGAGTATATCATCAGTGTAGCTGCTGTCAATTCTGTTGGAAGAGGTCCCTTCAGTGATCCTATTCAAGTAGAGATTAGAAAAGGTACTGCATAATGGTATAAAATACTTATAATTGTGTAAATTTATTTAGTATCATCTTCATTAATATCATCATTAATGACATTAGCACTTGCAAGTACAGCAAAATCAGTTTCAACATCTTCAATGGCATCAACATCAGTATCGGCATTAGAATCAGGATCAGCATCAGAATTAGTATCATCAGAATCAGTATCATCAGAATCAGTATCATCAGGATCAGTATTATCAGAATCAGTATCAGCATCAGAATCAGTATCATCAGTATCAGAATCAGTATCATCAGTATCAGAATCAGTATCATCAGAATCAGTATCAGCAACAGTATTAGAATCAGCATCAGTATTAGCATCAGCAACAGTATTAGAATCAGCATCAAAATTAGTATCAGGATCAGTGTCAGCAGCAGTATCAATGTCATCATCAGGTATGTATTGTATAATTTAAATTGTATTAACTTCATTTCTCTCAATTTAGTATCATTAGAATCAGCATCTAATCAAAGTATGCATTTAATATACTAAATAATTATTAATTTATTTTAATTATAGTACCTGTTATTGGAGGAGTAATAGGAGTAGTACTTATTATAATAATAATAGTAATAATAACACTATTAATAATTGCAGTTATAATACAAAGAAAGAAAAGGTTTGTTGTTTATTATTGTTGTCATCATTATTTATTATTTATAGATACAGTAAATCTGATAAACAACCATTGGAACTTCCACTAACAGTACTGACAAATGATATTATAAAAGAAGGTAATTGTTAAAATGATACTATTAATCAATACAACTATATTAATAGACAATAAGTATACTGATTCATCTGTTATAAATGATAACAGTATGACAGATAAAGATACTTCAGTAAGAGTTGAACCAGGTAATACTATACAATGTACATATGATCAACTGATAATCTCCATTTAACAGAATATGCTGTTATTAATAAGAAGAATAAGAAAGAGAAAGAGTCAGAAGAGGTTCCAATACAGCAGCAGCAGTTGCCATTATATGAACCAACATACACTGATATCGAAGCACTCAAACTCTCCCCACATCACATTTATAATGAACCATCCTTTGACCCATTAATACCAGCCACTCTACCAGTATCAATGGAAGAACTGGGCAATCATGTGGCTACTTGTCACAGTAATGGATTCGAAGAGCAATATAAAGTATTGTTAGTATAAAATGAATAATTGTTATCATTGGAACACAGAGTTTGTATACTGGAGAGGATAAGTCATGCTCCATTGGATACAGTGAAGATAACAAAGCATTCAATCGTTTTAAAAACATTACAGTTTGTATGCTCCTAATAATAAACAAATGACACAATTACAGTGTCTCCTTGTAGATGATGATAACAGGATAACATTGATCACTAATCCTAACTTGGATATGTGTCAAAGAGAATACATCAATGCTAACTATGTTCATGTAAGCATATCAGAAGGTATAATCCTTTAATCATTGTTTGTATACAGGGGTATAGCAGTCCTAAGAAGTTCATATCATCACAAGG